TGGACCTAAGTGAAAAGAGTAAAAGAAGCTGAGTAAAAGAAGCCTCCTGCCATTTACCTCCCAAAGACCAATTAAATCACTAAGATTGGGCCTCCTCCGGGTACCATCGGCCGGTCAATGTCGGCTGGCGACCCCCCCGGGGGGGCTTCTCTGTTGCTGCCCCGGCCTTATGGAATGATCTCCCCATTGAGATCCGGACCCTCACTACTCTTCCGGCCTTCTGTAAGGCCACTAAGACCTGGCTGTTCCGGCATGCCTGGGGCCGTTGAATTAGCATCCAGCCCCATTTTAAGTAGTATGTATGTTGTGGTATTTTAATTGTTGTATTTCTTTTTTAAATTTATATATCCCCTTGTTTGTTTGTAAGCCGCCCAGAGTCCCTAGGGAGTGGGTGGCATACAAATGTCAATAAACTTAAACTTACAAACTTACAAGCTGAAAACAAGAATATAGGTTTCTACAAACAATAATGACTAGAAAACCCTCAGGAATGAAGCTCCCACCAAAATTTGAGTGGTTTCCACCCTACTTATTTTTTTTTGAAGGACCTTAAATATTTGTCTCTTCACCCAGACCTTAGGCAATTATACCTGATGTCTCTTTTTTTCTTTTAGATCCCTTCTGGGTTTATTTATTGATTTATTGCAAAAGGCAGGATTATTTTTTTTTTATTTTCTTGTACTTTTAGTTTTCTCTTTCATTTTATTCTTTTTTCTCTTCCTTATTTCCTGTTAGTTTATGTTTGTTTTCATCTTCCTTTAAAAAAAAAAACTTTTAATATTGTTTGGGGCGTGGGGAGGCATGTAAGTGCAAAATCCAGTAGAAATAGTATTTTCTTTAAGGGAAAAAATCGTTCTTATACAAATAGCTTCCTCGGTTCTTGATACTGACGGACAAATACCAATAGCCAGACTGGCACCTGTCATGTATAAAGGTGAAGCCCCAGGTTTTTGCTAAATACAATGAAAAATGACTATGGAATGAAGTAAAGGGAAAACAGGTGGAAGGGGGTAGGGGATGGAAGGGGGTACAGCAGACTAGGGAAACACGGCAAAGGAATAATGCTGTGACATTTTCTTGGTGGCCCTGAGGGATAGGTATTTCACTTGGTACTAAATCTCTATGACAAGCCTGCCTCAGAGAACAGTATTTCATATATACTGCACTATAACTGGGAAAGTCACATGCCATTCAGATAAGTTCATATCAGCGAAGATGTTTCTTTAGAAGCTAATCATTATGTTATCCATATATAACAAGGTCTCTCTCTCCCCCCTGCCTCCCCCCTCTTTCTCTGTCTGTCTCGCTCTCTCCTTCTCTCTCTTTCTCCCCCCAACATGACACATGCTCATATGCCTTAGGTGAAATTGTTTGTGGAGATTTTTCAAACCAAATCAAACCTAGATCAATTGAGAGGAAATAAATGACCATTTCTGTTGTCAGATTAACATTGTTAGAAGGGATCTTATAGGTCATCTAGTCCAACCCCCTGCTCAAGCAGGAGACCCTACGCCATTTCTGACAAATGGCAGTCCAAACTCTTCTTGAAAGTCTCAACTGATGAAGCTCCCACAACTTCCGAGGGCAAGCTGCCCTCGGTTGATTGTTCTCACTGTCTGAAAATTCCTCCTTATTTCTAGGTTGAATCTCTCCTTGATCAGTTTTCATCCATTATTCCTTGTCTGGACTCCAGGTGGTTTTGGAAAATAGCTTGACCCCTTCCTCTCTGTGGCAGCCCCTCAAATATTGGAAGACTTCTATCATGTCTCCCCTAGTCCTTCTTTTCAATAAACAAGACATACAGTTTAAGAGTGGGGACAATCTATTAAGGAGCCGAGGTGGCGCAGTGGTTAGGGTGCAGTACTGCAGGCCACTTCAGCTGACTGTTATCTGCAGTTCAGCAGT